GTCATAACTGTAAAATAATAATCTGCCATCTGCGGAATTATTCACTCATTATAATATTACATGATGCTCAATGTTCATTTATTTTACTCTGACATAAAGTGGGGATTTAAAACACGTTAAGGAGCTGTGTGTGTGTGTGTGTGTGTGTGTGTGTGTGTGCAGCAGGCCACACGCTGTTAATGCAGATCCTGCAGGCCTGCAGCTTCACCGCCGTGTTCACATGAACCATTAAAATAATCATAAACAGATCCATTGAATCCTGTTGATGATTTAAATATTAATGTTTCCTCACTGATCAGATGAGACTCTGTTTAAACTTATAATGATCCATATTAATGTCTCACACACACATTAACACACACACACACACACACACACACTCCGTCCTGCAGCTGCACGTGAGCCTCTCAGGTGAGCTCATATTAAATGTGTTATTATTATTATTATTATTATTATTATTACTATTATTATCAGTTTTAATATTTGGGTTCATTTTTCCCTCCTGCAGATGTGATCCGGTCAAATTAATTCAGGTATCGATTATTCACATGGTGATCTGTGCAGCGCCGGGTCTCGTGGTAATAATTGATTTTATCGATTGGTTAGAGATGGGAAGGAAATAAAAAAAGAGGGGGAGCTGACAACCAGAAAAAGGAAGGAAAACAAACACAGTGTCATTATGATAGATTTTTTTGCAAGTATTTATTGTAAACGAGATTATTGTTAAATGTTAAACATGCAGAACACAAAAATACATTCATGCATTTTCTTGAAAAAATAGAAATATATATATTTTTCCCTTTTTGTTTATTTTCTATTTTTATTTGTGTCGTTTGTACTGCAGTAAACACACATAACCAACACATACAATCATTTACATGTGTTTAAAGAAATATAATTTCCACTGATACACACACTGATAATCCAGGACTGTGAGCTGCTCTTTATAATAAATCTCATAAAGATATAAAGATTTCAATACTGAGACACTTTAAACAGTGAGCTCTGAATAAAGCTAAAAATAAAATATAAATGATGGTAATTATTATTTTATCAGAAATCAGATGAGGATTTATTGCAGGTAAGTTTCCACTTAAAATGAATTTGCTTTGGTTTTTGATCAAATATATGAAGAAAAATGAAAATGAGGCAAAATGCTGCAACACATAAGAACTTAAATATTGAAAATAAAAAAAAATAATAATAAAAATGCAAAGATGATTTTAAAAGGTATATTATATCTTAACATAGATATGTAAAATATAGATGTTATGGAATCAGCTGCAGGAGGTGCAGAAATATTAATATAAGAGGATGTGAAAACTCCAGAGGAGCATCAGACTGTCATGTCAGTTTAACACATTTTTAAATCTCGTATTTGCAGAGTCGAACTTCGCACCTGCAGCTGCACAAATAATCTTCACTGTACAACTTTTATATTAAAAACAAAAGCTGAAACGTCACAAAGTGAAACACCTGCAGCAGCTGCTCAGCTCACTTTATTACATTAAATATAATCAGACTGGACAAAACTTTACAGACGCTCTTTTTAATTTACGTTTGCTTTTAAATAAAGTTTAAAAAGAGCAGAGAGGCACCCTGAGGGAATGAATATGTTGTTACCTTTAAGCAGAAATTTAAGAATAAGCACGAGGACAAACAGGAGTGCAGATGGACTCTGAAAGAGAAGCGTGGACAGTGTTTCCTCTTCATGTTTGACATCACACCTCACAGCTGACCCGAGGCATCACGGGAAACTAAATGTATTTATTTCCAGCTGCTGATGTTCAGTTAGAACATCGTGTCTGAGGCAGCAACACGAACAACAAGTGAAACTACAGCAAATATCAGTGAATAAAAATAAATAAAATTACACCTGATGGAAACGTTTCGTTTGTCTTCAGTTTTCAGAGACATGATGAACACATGAGGTTTTTATCTCTGCAGCATATATTCAGATTTATTTATTTATTTATTTATTTACAGATATTTTCCTGCTGAAGTTTGTTTACAGTTTGTGACGTTTGTTGAACGAGATAAAAAACTTCTGTTTGCTTTTCAAAATAAAAGCTGAAATTATGTTGACTGTCCGAAACGTTGTGTTTTATATGCGTGTGTGTGTGTTTATATGTGACAGTAAATGAGATGTGAAATTAACCTGTGTTTGTGTTTTGCGTGTATTATGGTCTGTACACTGTGTGTGTGTGTGTGTGTGTGTGTGTGTGTGAGATTGAATAATGCATTGGAGATTAGGTGAAAACAAAAACGACCCAAAACTCCGCATCATCATCATCATCATCATCGTCACAACATGGCGGTTACTAGCCTAATTTATTTTGGAAGTTAAATGTAATAATAAAAATAATAAAAACAATATTAATACAGTTTGATTTCCTTCTTCAGATGAAAACATGAAATTCACCATAAACACACTGATTCTCTTCTTCTTCTTCTTCTTCTTCTTCTTCTTCTTGTCATTTAGATTCTTTTTGTTTTTCCGCAGCTGCAAACAGGAAGTCAATATCTCATTCAAAACTGCAGCCGTGCGCGTGCGCTCCATCTGTTATCATTAAGCAATAAGTGATGACGTTTAGCCGCTGATTAAACAACAGATTTGAGGTGTGAAGGCCCGGATGTGTGTGTGTGTTTGTCCTGTTGCTGCAGCTGCAGCTCGGGGACGTCTGCGGGCCTTCATGGGGCCAACACGCACACATGCGCGTCCACGCTGCAGAACACACCGAGCTCCTGATCAGATTCATAATAAATATGAATATGTGAATGTTGTCTCTTCCTGTCAGAAAGCCGTCACTCCTTCATCACCAGGAGACAAACACACTCCTCTGGGTTGTTCTGTTTAATCTGCATGGCCACTTTAAGGTCACAGCGATGTCCCCTGACCTCTGACCTCCTCCACTGGCTGCTTCTAATATCGGTGATGCAGGGTTTGACGCGCGTCCCTGAGGATGGCAGCATCAGCTAAATGGTTAACGCTCAGTATTGGCTTCAGATTAAAAGCTTATTGTGCAGGAGCCACACTCACAGTCACTCTGCATGAGCGCTGAGGATAAAGACATGGACAGTATTTATGGACATAATGGAGGCTCCTGATGCTCCGCTGTAAGTCCCTGTGAGCAGACACATGGCTGAGATGTAAATGTTTTGGCTGCCATGATGATGATGATGATGATGGAGATGATGATGGTGAGCTGAGATTTGGAGCTCATTGTGCACAAATTCATCAGTTAAAAATAATTTATTTTTCATCATAACTCCTGATGATATTTTAGATCATAAGTGTGTGTGTGCATGTGTTGACAGAGCGGGGTCCGGGGCCCGGGGCCCGGGGCCCGGGGCCGTGAACGCCCCGCCGGGTGTCGGTGTGTACAGTCGGGCGCTCCGCAGCTCCAGTGTCAGCCTCCCTTCTCGGGTTTTCCAGCCACAGAAGGTGAACTTTCACCCCGACCTCCAAAAGGACCTTTTATTTTCGCTCTGTAGCCGTTGACCATTTTACCTCCAGCTACTCGCCATCCAAACACGCATCCCTCCGTGCTGGCTGCGCGCGGAGCGGATCGATAGGGCAGCATCTGCTCCGGGAAGCCGGCGGTCCCACACCGCGCACCGCTCCGCTGTTTCCAAACGCCAGAACTGCTCATCTCTGAAAATTAAACTGACAGACAGATATGATTAGTATGCGCTCTGCCTCCCTGCCTCTGACCGACTGTCTGTGCGTCTCTCTCTGAGGCCGGCGCGCGCGCAAACACGCACGCACAGGCCTGAGCATACAGACTACATGTATATTTATGCTCCTCACATGCACGCACAGGCGCCAGTAAACAGACACTCAAATCTGCACAGGTGCACGTGCACGCTCTCACACACACAACATGGTGATCACATGTTAGACGCAGATTCAGACGTGCATATTGCACAGTAAATTTACACAAAGTGACACTAAGTGGATTCTCTTACACGTGCACGCACACACGAGCACGCGCTGCCATCAGCCTGGGCCTGCAGCGTGTCTGCAGCAGCAGGTCGAGGGTCTTTAGGAATAAAAAGGGTCGCATTGATCTTGTTGAGGGACTTTCAGACTCAAGTGTTGGCGGTGTGAGTGAATGGAGGCGCGTGCTGAGTGCTGATTAAGAGCTGAGAGAAACACGAGCGTCACTTGACAGCATTTATTCCTGAAAGGTGGCGCGAGACGAGCCAGAGAGAAATCATGTAAAATCCTTCAGGAATGTTTGGCGCTAAAAATAAAGGAATCCAGGATGAGGCCTGGTGGAGAGCGCGCGCACAGCAGAGTGCACGTGGGTAGGGTGTTTTTTTTCCTGGAGTCAAATTTACATAGTTAGCCCTGTGAGGCAAATTGTGATTTGTGATATTGGGCTTTATAAATAAAATTGATTGAATTGATTGATATTCACCTTTATTTCCTTTAAAAATCATCTCAGTCCTGCTGTGATGTTAGAAATTAAACTGTGTGCGTGTGTGTGTTATATCCCGTCCCATCTCCACCTCACACACACACACACACACACACACACCTCGCAGCATCACTTGTCCCAGGAAACAGAACAAACACACAATAGCTGCAGTTTGTGAAAATCCATTGATGAGCTCCAACACGAGCCGAGAGCAGGGTGTGCGCGCACAAATCATAAGTCGTGCATGCAATCAGCTGAAGAAGGTTTAACCTGTGGGGTTATGAGAAAGGAGCATCTCCACCTCCACACCTCCCCCGCCCCGTCACCCC